ATTTGTTATAATTGCTTCAAATAATTTAGGAATTACAGAAAGCTTAGCTATTCCCCGGTAGTTCTCCACTGACCGCTTTTATGTAACGGGGGTATTAACGATTCCTTCCATATAGTTGGAAAAACGTTCTCTTTAAGAGATAAATTAAATATCGCTGTCAACAGCTCATAGAGATAATCAGAACAATTTATAAGAATACAAGTAGGGATCTGGTCAGGACCATAACTGAAGGACTGCTTTAAGGATTTCAGATAAAGTACTACATCATCGGGAGATATTACTGGGATATTTATTGAGTTCATTGGACATAGTTTAAAAGGATAGTCAATGTGAGTTAATGGAATAATTGGATTAAAAAAACTGCACATGTTAGAATTTGTTTGATTATCACTAGAGACGGTATTTTGATACTTCATGGCGGAAGGAAACCCACGTACATTTCGCTTGGAGTTTACGAAGTCATAAAATGATTTGGGGTTATATATTATACGCTGTTTGATTTTACACAAGTAAGCTTTATAACACTTTTTGTTTAGTTCAAAAAACTTATCACGCAAAAGTGAGTATTTTATATAGTATGAGTGTAAACCGGATTTTTGTGTAATCTAAAATAACGCGACTTTCTGTTTTTAAAATTTCTCAGTTCTTTAGTGAACCATAACTGTGTTTGCTCTTCAGGAACATATATGCGTTTAGCACATGCTTTTCAAATAATTTATGTAAAGTAAAGTTAAAAAGTGCAACGTTTTGTTCATTATTTTCTTTAAATGCAGGCCTCGACAATTTAGACAGTTCTTTGTTAAGCATTTTAAAGTTGGCTTTCGAAAAATCAAAGCGAATATTTGGTTCGTATGCTTGGGTACTGCAATTTTGACCATCACTTATAACTTCGTAAGATACCTCCATAGCAGGGTGGTAGACATCTTCGGGCAAAACTAGTGGATCACACTTATTTACAACGGACTTAGATGCATCATGAACATAAACAAGATCGAATACTTTACCAAACTTATTGTGAAGTACATTAACCTGATTTAGGCAGAGTTCAGCCATTTCATTTAGACACACGGATATCCTTAACAGATCGCAAGGTATCTAAGCATTTGAATGATTTAAACATATTTTCATAATGCTTAAATTTTTCTGTCAGTACCGACAATTCTCTTCCTACTTCTGTAAAACCATTTCTGGTTTGCCTAAATAGTTTGAAAAGATCAACTTCGGTTGACCTGCACTTTGCGCAAGACCAGCGAAGGCCCTTGCCATCATTAATAGCGTCCAGAATTCTTCCTGTCAAACCAGCACATTTCAGATGGTAAATACCATCACACAGCCAGCACGATAAGTAGCGTTCAGAATCGCTTTTAATTTGGCAAGTATCAAGATCGCACTTCATATTGAAAGATTTATGTAATACACTCGTTAATAAAAGACAAACAAAATAAATTATAACAATGAAGGAGCTGATGTAAATAGCTTTAAATAAATGTAGCGAACAGTTTGAGTATCACTGTAATTATGACACTTAATAAACGCAATGCAAACAGCTGTGACAAGAATTACTAGAAAAAGTAAACAAAAAGAGTAGAACAAATGTGCAAAAACAAAATGGATTCAGTTAACTACAAAGGATACAACAACAATGATAGCAACAAATGACTCGGCAAAATTAGAATGTATGCTAGTGAAGTTTAATTAAATTTACTTTAATATAAAACCAATAACTTTCACTTACCTTCAATTTTTCACACTATGATGCTCATAAGCACTTTTTATCACTACTTTAACACAGAATTAGCACAATGAACTTAGCAAGTAGAAAATTAGAGCACAATAAAGTACAACCTCACAGCTTGACGTTTGTGTGCATAATATTCTTAGAAAATTCTCTTACTCGGCTCTGAAATTCCGTGGCTTCAGACAACCAAGTCTTCTAACTTCGCAACTAGGCGCCTTAAAGTATCGCACCACTTTCCACAAAATGCAACGCTCGTAGTTCCTGCTCCTTTTCATTTTTGTATATGTATGTATCTATAAATACATGCGGTCGAAAAGCAAAAAAAAAATTCCAACTTGAAGAGAAAAGTTAAAGTTATTCATCATTTGACATTGTAGTCGGGGGTCAAAAGAGAGAAATGTCAAAATCACCTCTACCTTCTTTAATATGCCTTGGCCCGGACGATTTTTACTCTTTGAAGTTTTGAGAATTAACAAAGCAAATATTGGAAGTTCATTCAAGTAAAATTATATATTTCTTATTTTCCCTTTTTTATGCCCAAAATATAAACAAACGATTAAAATTTCATAAAAATATGTTTCAATGCATGGTTCTTCTGAGAGCAATGTCAAATCCAACCACACTATAGGTGTGTACTCGTATTGAGAGGACAAAATTCTCCAGCAGCAAAAGTTCTGAGAATTTAGCAGCATTCGCTCTCAAAGAGACGAAATATCAAAAGAAGTACGAGAAAATTTGCAAAAACTTGCAACCTTCGAAACAGCTGATCACTTGCACAGTTGCCACTGGTGATTAATTAGGCAATTTATTTTCTGTTTGGTACATTTTCCCCCGATTTGGCATTTTATACAATTGAATAGTTTTCGATAAGAAAAACCTTTTTAAAATAAAAATTAATTATATCGGAATGAATAAGCTATTTTTCTCATAATTATTTGTGATATCACATGGTGACACACTCAAAAACAAGAGTATCTCCTTCAAACACCCATCATTTATCTAAAAACAAGGTAATAGATATAGCTACAGACGTAGCTTTAAAATTATAAAATTTTCATTTCAACAATCAACCTACCAAAACCGAAAACTTCAGCAAAACAACATTTCAGCATGTTGCATTTAAATCTATTTTGGTTATTTTGGTATCTTTAAAGGTAAATTATTGTGGCGAATACTGCGGCAACACAAAGCGAACAACGAGAAATAG